GGCGGATTTCGGGTGACAGCTCCGCACAAAGCGGCTTGGCTGGGGTGCAGGCTGCCCTTCTCCCCCTGTGCAGCGCCCCTCGCCCGGGTGGGAGGTGGACCGGTGCACCCGGGGCTGCCTCCGCCCTCCCCGGATTGGAAAGGGGGTGCGGGGTCCGAGGGAAGGGGGGGATTCCCGGGCTGGCTTGTAGCAGCGACGGGCTTCCCCGATTCGTCGCGGGGTTGAGGGTCTCTCCTAACCGCCCCCCCTCCAATGCTTCCTTTCTGTGCAGCGGTGCCTTCTCCCCCCGACTCCTTTCACCTCTCCGGCGCAAAGGTGAGCCCCGGAGGCTGTTGCTTCTCCGACTTGGGAGAAGAGACGAGAAAGCTTTTCAGAGAGCGAGGCGGCTGCAGCTGGCGCTGGGAACGTGGGGGCTCCCTCCTGGGGACTGTCAGAGCCCTGTCAGCTGGGGAGTGTCTGCGGCCCGCGGAGAGCCCCCAGTCCGGGGGTAGGAACTCCCTGGCGGGTTCTTGCCAGCCGAGGAGCCCGCCCAGCCTTGCAGGTGTTGTAGTAATAGCCGGGCGCAGCCACCACGCGTTCAGCCCCGAGCGGCTTTGCCAGGTTGCTGGGGTAGCTCCTCGGGGCCTGAGCGCCCGGAGGGGGCGGCCCGGTTACCGGAGCTGGTAGTCAACAGCCCGGCCGCTAGCAGGTGAAAGAGGAAGGAAGGGAGGCAGGCCCAGCTGTAGAAAGTTAAGGTTCCGTAACGTGGGATCGAGCCAGATGGAGGCCCAGCGTTCCCTGGGGTGGGGTGCGGGAGTCCCCAGACCACTCCATTCGGGGAGCGCGTCACTGCAGGCATGCACACCACACGACGGTCAATTTTTTTTTTTTTTTTTTAACCTTTTGTAGTGGAAGAAGGGGACGGGAGGGAAGGTTTCTTCAGGACGTATAGGAGAAAATGGCCATCAAGAATTAAATTGTCTTTCGGGCAGAGAAAGTAGCCAATAAAGCGTTGAGGCAGTTGAACGGGATCCGTATTTCGGAAAATTTCATGAGCGTGGGTGCAATAAGGTACTAGTCCTGCCGTATTTTCAGCGGCCCTGAGGGAAATTCTTGTTTCTGTTGTCTCTGAAGAAGTTTCTGGTAGTTTGTCTTATTTTTAGAAATTATGCTGATGCTGCTACACGTTTTTATTCCAACCTGAAGTCTTTTTGGATTCGTATTTTTGTGAATTTTGCATTTTTTAAAAAAATTATTCAATAGGCTACTTCAGAAAAAACCTTGGGAATTATTAAAATAGAAATCGAGACATTGATTTACCTCCCCCCAAAACCTCACTTTTTTCTTCTAAAGATTTTATTTATTTAACAGAGAGAGAGACACAGTGAGAGAGGGAACACAAGCAGGGGGAGTGGGAGAGAGATAAGCAGCCTTCCCACCGAGCAGGGAGCCTGATGCGGGGCTCAATCCCAGGACCCTGGGACCATGACCTGAGCCGAAGGCAGACGCTTAACGGCTGAGCCACCCAGGCACCCTTCTTTTTGTCACTTTAAAAGAAAACCAAAGCTATACATTTAAAATTAGGAAGAAATATGCTTATATAATTATATTGAACATGAAACAGATTGGTTATATTTAGTTGGGTGTGTTTATCAATTTGAAAAACCAGGAGAGACCACGTTCAGTATACTAATTGTTAGCACTTGTGATCAGTATTTCTAAGATTATACTGAAAAGTACAAAAGCTGTTGTCCTTCCAACTTAAAAATTTTTCCCTTCATCTTAAGCCCCAGAACCCCAGCAGCAGTGAAAACACAGAAATTATAGTGTCAGAAAAGGATGAGGGAATATCACCGTTAATTATATACTTAAAGGTGGAAGTGTACGAACACTAAAAAAAGTCTTGTATTTTTCCTAGAGAACACAGATTTAACAGTGGCTTTTATAGTCACTTTTCCTTTCCTCTTAACCATTTCTTGAATTATATAATTCTTCATTGCAATTAAATATATATTTTCCAGTACACAGTTGGATTAAAATGTTTGTTGAAATTTCCAGAAACTATACTTTCTTTTGAGTTGCCAGTATTCCTGGGTGACAGGACCAAATGTTGCATGAAACGAGGCTGATTATATTTATGCTCCTAAACCCCACATTAGACTCAAATATTTTTGCTGCAATCCTTACACATAGTATACATTCACATATACTATATGTATGTTTATATGTGCTTTGTGGCTCATTTTATGAATAATGTAGAACATGTATTATATAAAGAGATTTGTTAGATTGGACAGCCTTTTGAAAATATAAATGTGATCCAGAAAGCCTTTGGGTGTAAGAATTATAGGTACACAGTAGTTCTGTTTACATTAGTACTAGTGCTTTATCCAGCAGTAGAATGAGCAGTATAGAACCCAAAGGCAACTTATTTAATGCTTAACTGTAATGTATTTCAGAATATGTATAGGGTTTGTGCGTTCATAACTAACATAATGGTTTTGAGAATGTGAAGACTGAGTTAGAGGAAGGCTCTCTACCTTACCACCGATGTCAGGATTTCTCGAAGTCTGTGTAGGTGGCGAATGAAGTTTTTGCATGTGATGTTAATAATCCATGAAAAATGCTCTTATGAATGTTAGTACAACTCATGGATAGGAAACAGTAAGATTACAAAGCCCTCAAAGCTTTTCTCCAAGATGAAGATTATATTTGTGGAATTTGTATCTTACAACACTTTTCCACTTTCAAATTCCTTACTCATAGGTATGTCCTATTTTCATGTTATTGTGTGTGTGTGTGTGTGTGTGTAGTAAATACATGGATCAGGGAAGGAATTGTGATGATTGTAAAATCTGTTATTGCATACTTATGGTAAGCATTTTTATTTTTGAGTTAATTGAAAAATACTAATTCGATAACTCTTAATCTTTCATGGTTACTATGCATTATTATTATTATTTTTTTTTTAAGATTTTATTTATTTGTGAGAGAGAGAATGAGAGACAGAGAGCATGAGAGGGAGAAGGGTCAGAGGGAGAAGCAGACTCTCCACTGAGCAGGGAGCCCGATGCGGGACTTGATCCCGGGACTCCAGGATCATGACCTGAGCCGAAGGCAGTCGCTTAACCGACTGAGCCACCCAGGCGCCCCGGTTACTATGCATTATTTTTCTTATATACTTTGGTTCTTGATGCTTATTTAACTGTGCTGTTATTAGGCCAGTTTGAAAGCTGATAAATTTTTCTAGTAGAAGATACCAGTGACTGTCTAACTCAGTCCTAAATCCAGTAGTGACTGGATAGTGTGCCTGAGATTTTACTGAGAGGGAGCAAATGAGTTTTCTTTGTAGAGTATAATAAGATTGAAATTCAGGAGCTACTGAGAAGGCAGTAAGATGAAGAGGGACAGACAGACAGAAACCAGGTGTTTTTACTCATTGAATTTTACGAACAGCAGTATAATTGGTTTATTGGTCATCTGTGTGGTGTTTCTTATTTTTATATTTTTATATGTATATACTACTAATGGACAGCATTTATTAAATACTTATAGTTTGCCAGGTCTGGTGCTTTAAATAGATTATCTTACTCCTCACACCACTACGATGGTACACACTTGCGTGCTCATTTTATACACGGGAACACTGAAGCTTCGTCTTAGATTAAGTAACTTGAAAGTAAGGGCTTCACACTAGGGCAGTCTAACTGCAGAGCATATGCTCTTACCTAGTAAACTACATAATAACTTTGCTCCAGAGTGTTGAAAGTATTACTGTTTACTTATTAAATTAAAAAAAAAAAAAATTTTTTTTTTTTAAGACTTTCTGAAACAATGGCAACACCACGGAGGAGGACAAAGAAAAAAGCATCTTTTGATCATTCTCCGGATAGCCTGCCTTTGAGGAGCTCCGGTAGGCAGGTATTAATTCGTTTGTTCATTAATGCACCTGTTGGGTTTTGTTTGTTTTTAGAGAAAGAGTGCGAGCAGGGGTGGGTGGGGGGAGGCAGAGGGAGAGGAGAAGGAGAGAGAGAATCCTAAGCAGACTCCACGCCCTA